CAATGCAAGCAATAAATGCAGTTGCAAAGCGAAAGCGGGTCACAAGTGTAGAGTGGGTTTGAACAGGACCCAGCTTATGTATACGCCTGAGCGGAAAACCGTGCTCGGTAAAACAAACAGAAGTAAAAAAAGAAATATCACAGCTCGAGTCAGAGTTCATTGTGAAGAAAATATGAGCGGAAAACGTCCTCGTGAATTGGTCCTTTTCTTCGTACAATCATGGTCACTACACATCTATAGAACAATTGCGGAATGTGCAGGGTAAATATAAGTTCGTGTTGTAATACATATACATAGAGCAATTGGGTGTCACTCATAACCTATTGCAACCAATTTCAGTGCCAGCTGAAGTTCGGTACCAGATAGGTTTGTATTTACTCTCAAATTTATTTCATGCCTACAGAATTTTTAGAGAAACCAGGTCCGTTTGTTGCTGCCAGACGAATAGCTTTGAAGGCTCGTTTGTCGTTGAGAGCTGTGAAAATCATGTTGCATGAATTGCGCGCTATATAACCGGAGCTTCCATCAGATCCTAGGACATTACTGTCAACGCTAAGATTTACATCGAAGACCACCGTTGGTGATGTAACATACGTTCATTTTGGTGTATCTGATTGCATTCGACGTGTGGCTGATAGTCAAGCACGCAACCAAGAGAATGTGATGCAGCTCCAAATTCATATAGATGGAATGTCTGTTTTTCGAGGATCAACGCAACAAATTTGGCCAATACTTGGTCGATTGTTACAACCACGTTCGACCATTTTCATTATTGACCTGTATAGTGGGATGTAAAACCCACTGACGTTCCCGCCTTCTTGTCCAGTTTGATTGACGATCTGCGAGTTCTTCTGTGTGATGGCCTTTTCAATGGGGAGACAGAGCACACTCAACGCGTTGAGTTACATAGTGTTATTGCTGACGCTCCTACCAAAGCCCTACTGAAGCAAATAAAGCAGCACAGTGGGTACTATTGCTGTCCCAATTGCATTCAGAAAGCTGTCTATATCAAGGGACGCTTGGCCTTCCGAACGGGCGATGCTAAGGCACGCACAGACTGGGATTATTGTGCCCGTGTTCACGATGATCATCATACCGGAATATCTCCCTTCGAGAGACTTCTAGTAGATATGATTAGTGTGTTCCCGACAGACTACATGCGTGCAGTCTGCCTGGGATTGATGAAACGGTTAATTTTTGTGTGGCAAGAAACCGGTAACAACCGTCGACCACCTATTGGCACATCCATGTGGCAGGTGGCACAGTATCGGCTGATGTTAGCCATTAAATCTGTGACCTGCGAGTTTTCCAGACGTTGTCGCAGTCTGAATAATGGAGAATTTTGGAAGGCAACGGAGTATCGGCAATTTATGCTGTACCTTGGACCGGTAATCCTACATCACATCTTACCGTCAGAGGTGTAGGAGAATTTCCTGTAATTTTCCGTTTTCACGTGCATCTTGTGCAGCAGAAAACTTGCAACGAATTACTTGTCATACGTGGAACGCGTCTTTCGTGATTTTGGTAATTTGTAAGAAAAATCTCACGTAGTTTATAATGTTCACATATGAACACATCTGGCTCAAGACGTTCGAAGATAAGGAGTAACTTTCCATTCAAAAGCTGCATGCAAACTATCTTTAACTGTGTAAATTCTCGGAATATGATAGCGGAACAAATATATCGTCGAATCGTGGAACGTATGAGACGCTTTAGTAGACCAGATATGTCGACGTGTTTCACTTGGCTCAACTCCGCGGCACATGCTAACCAGGCAGCTGTGTCCACTTTCTAAACCTAATTCTTACCGGTACACGGATTCAGCTTCAAAGCTGGATTTGTGGAACACAAATAATTGTGATTCATAATTATACACGTATTAG